CTTAGATTATATCCTGATTTCCTAAGCCTTATTAATATTGTTCTTTTATCTTCCAGATGTATCTGAATGGACCAGATGAGACCTGCGCACTAGAACCGTCATCGATAAGGTCTTGATTTACCCTTTTCTTTTCTCCCTCTACTGGCAAGATGAGGGCTATGCACTGAGAATGCTCATACTGGTCAAGTGAACATTAAACTAAACCCTCAATGTTCTTTTTCCAAAAGCTACCCCGAGCTTTCCACATTTTTTTAACTGTTCTAGGCTGTTTCTTCTCCATACTGTATCCCCACTGAAACAGTTCAGATTTACAGCAGAATTTCCTGTTTCTATTCAACAGTAATGTTCATATTCAGCACTTTGATTTTAGGAAGGATTAAAGTTAATTTCCTTTACTTCTGTATTTCTCCATGTTTAAGTCTGCTGTTGGGGTCACCCTAAGATTTCATTCACACAAACATAACCTTGCATAATTGTGATAAATTTTTTTTTTAAATGTAAGTGGTACTTCATGTAAAATACACTTTGTAGACAAATTGTACTTTTAACTACAGTGAGCACAAATAAACAGACTTATGTATCAATTTTGGCCTTACAGTATTCTATAAACCTTTCTTAATTATGAAGTTGTCGGTAAATTGATGTTCCACTCAGTCACTATCCTTCCTTGAATAATGTATGCTAAGGTTTTCTTTTCAACTTTGTTCTTTCTGTAGGTCAGCAGCAGGATAAAGCAATAGGCATGTGTTTCACTGCATGAAATAGCAGCTAGCCAAAGTTTCCCAAGATACTAGGCTGCAATGCTTGGTCTTTTTCTAAGGTAAAGCAAGTTTATTTTGAATAGAAATAAGTTATTTAGTCAGCTTAAGACACAGAAGTATGGGTTCTACCTGATCTCTTAAGTTCTATGGAAAACCATTAGTTTAACTCAAACCTTCATGACAAACACTGCACAGCTTTTTGCACAGATACTGCGCTGGAAAAAGTCGTAATACAAAGGCCAACATCTGCAAACGAAACAGGCCACCATTCTAAATGTTCTTCTGTAGAAGACAAAAGATAAAACTCTGTTTTTATTGGAAAGTTAGCAGTCGTGAGAAATGGGAGCTGTTAAAATACATTCAGTTCCCTGCCGTCATGAGAACAGGAGAGCCAGAAGGTCCAGTCTTCTTGAACAACTGATGTTTTAGTCTTCAGTAGCAGTATGAGTGCTGTGTGGAATTACATTATTTAAAACCTCAGTACATGGAGCAAAGGGCATATACATGTAGTGTCAGATATAAGCCATAAATACAGGAAAGCCTCTCTTGACTGCTTATAGATTTAATGAAACCATCGTTCATTAAAGCATAGTGGTATTTGAAACTGCTTTGATTACAAAAAGACTAAAGTTAAACTTTCTACAGTAAAATTACTATTGTAAGTTATGAGTTAATTATAATATTTTCAGAATCTATCAATCCATTTTATTCTCTTAACTTAATTGGGAATGTTAAATTGAGAAAATAAAGTATCAACTGGATTCTGAAGCAAATGTAACATGGCACCAGAGCCCTCAATCTTTTCGTTCAAGCCCTTCACAAGTATCCTTTAGAACTGAGTCACCAAACCAGAGCATCAGGCATTTTAAAAGCAACTACAACTGTTGCATTTTTCCCCAACAACAGTTCATAAAGCTTAGTTTTTCTATGAAGTGGAGTTTATTACAACATTAAGGAACAGTATTTAAACAGTTAATTTAATGGAATATTTTACAAATCAATTCATACAGAGAAAAGCAAACACAATGTTGTTTTAAAGTTATTACCAATAAGCTACATTGTTAAGCTGTTAGCGAGTTAAGTGTAGTACTGTAAACTAGCAATCAAGTATTATAGTAACTTGCAGTTCAGAATGAGATGGTAAAAATACCAGACAAGCAAATACATTTTTAAGACTTTTTGTACTCAATTCTTTCTACTTTCACATCATCTCCAATTAGTTGATAGACATATGTAACTACTGTAGAAGCCTGGATATCCATGAGCACAAATGAAGGAATGATGTTGCTGGAAAGAAAGAAAAAAATTCCTATTAATTGTGCGTATATAATCGCCTTAGCAGTGTTTCACCACTACTTAACAGAAATCACTAAGAAAAACGGATATGAATTTTGTAAGCACAGTACATCGATCTGAAGCTTTAAGTGTTTCATGCTCATCTATTTCAGTCAAGGAGATTTAGCAAGTACTATCAACCCTTCCTCCCCCTGACATTTAGAATGTAAACATTAACCTTCATAATGAGTTTTGTAGTTCAGTTTTGTTATCAAAAAGAAACCTCCCACAGGTATTTCCCATACTTCACTTACTTCTCTAAGGCATGATAGGCTCCTGTAGCTGATCCTGGATTGATATAGAACTTGTTTTCATGTTCGAATGCCTCAAATTTGTGTGTATGTCCTGAAATTAGGATGTCCACATCAAACTGCCTTTGTAGCAGTGCCAGGCTGGCCATATCACCCCAAGGAATAACTTGATGGCCATGAATCAGCCCGATTTTGAACTGTCCAACAGTTACAACTTTCTGTTCAGGATAATTCAGGTTCTAAAAATAAAAAAACCAAACACAGATCAGATGTACAGATTTATATTTAAAAACAACTCTATGGAACACCGAGAGGGGGAAAGCTTATGGAAATATTCAATGTAATTGGCCCTACCGCTACAAAATGAGAGCTACAAAAGCTGCTTTTATGAACGCGGTGGAGAATATGGTAGGATGCAAGGAACTTCAAAGATCTGACAGCAGCAGGTCCTGTTTGCTGGAGTCCTAGACATAGCCAAGTACGCACATTACTTTTATTCATACTGATGACAGATGGGAACGTACTGTGCAATTCACATTATTGATTGTAGCCCCAACTCTTTTGCCTGTTTTTCTTTTCACGTGCTGTTAGTACTACATAACCTCAGTTTGCCCTCTTTTACTTGAATTACAAATAACCCAAAAGTTGCCTTTTTGTAAAAGACGCACAGAAAACATCATCATCAACAGAGGACACTACCTCATCAAAGTCCCCTCTGACAACATGAACATCCCCTGCCAGAGTCTTGAGGTAGTCGTAAGTGTCCTTGGTGCAGAGGTTTCCTGTGCAGAGGATGTGTTGGATCTTCCCTGGAACCAGCAGTTTTTTGAATTTGGCTGGGAGGCTGTTGCATCGATGTGGAATGTGAAGATCTCCTAATACTAACACCAACTTATCAGGTGTAATGACAGGAAAGAAAGATCGTTACAGATACTTATTAAGACAAACAAAGCATTGCAATGTTTTCTTCAGTTTTGTAACTTTGTGTTTTGATGTAAAAGCTACTAAAATAAGAATGAAATGGTGATGGAATATTGCTATATGAGGGAAAACAAGGGCCCTTACTAATGCAGAACATTATCCGGAGAGGGGCCTTACAAACACAACAGTCTACAGAATTTTTTTTGTTGTTGTTGCTGAAAGCCATTGCAAGATATAACAACAGAAATGTGTTACTATTTGATGTATTTTACAGAAATTTGGGAAATACCATAAACAATCCCACATTTTTTTTCCTCCTTAAACATCCGAAGAAAAATAATATAGGACAGCTCTACTACATGTTCTCAAGCACAGACCTGGCTAAACTGTGGCCACTTCCCTTTAAAACTCTTCATCCAAGTTTCTTTCTACTTTAATTAACTTCTGTTTTCTTCCTTATCAAAAAAAAAAAGCAGCAGATTTGCAACATGTGTTAATAGCTGACCAGAATAGGAACCCCGTTCAGAGTCTGTATTGTAGGAACCACTGAACAACAGGATAAGACTAACAGTTTAAAAAACAAAACAAAAAACCAGGGCACTGCAAAGAAGAAAAGCCAGAAGTGGTTCTATTACCAGTTCTATATACCCATAGTTTCAGTACAATAGATGCAAGGAGAATACAAATTTAATGGGGGCTTCGAAATTAAGGATTCAGATGAAGTAAGACCATAATTTAATATCACAGGCTTTAAATCTGCAAATAAAGAAATAATTAATGCGAGCAACACAGCGATAAATTAATTATGCAAAAAGGGCATGAAAAGCTCTATAAAGCATGGAGTGTTATGCCACTACACTGTAAAAACACTGGATCTAGAGACAGTCATCCCTGTTAACTTGATAAATAGCTCCATATTAAAAAAGACAGTTTATCTTCCAACCATAATGCTTTTTTAGTAAGACAGTTCCTAAAATGACAGCCATCAAATGTGTTTGAAAAAGACACAGCCCAGATATATATATATAAAAAAGCAGTAGTAACTATGCTAAGGAATTAGCTTTTTTAAGATTTGCTTTTTAAGTTTTTAGGCCATGCAGCTATTTTCATGCTAACAGTCATCAAAAAAGGCAGAGGGGACTTGGGTGGGTTTTTTGTTTGGGTTTTGGGTTTGGTTTTTTGAGATTAAGAACGTCCCAGTGCCATCATCAAGCCATGCACCTTTGGAGAACAGATGGTTGAAAGTATCGGTAAAGCAATACACGTTTTTTTTAAATCAATGAGCTACCAATTTAAAACTAACTCAGGACGAAAAAAAAAGGACACATTTTTGATGGTCTTTCAAGAGTTCCCAGTGAAAAATACCCTCGCTAGCATCAGTCTAAAGATGATATACTTGAATGCAAGTAAAAAATGGGTAACAAGTGATTTTGATTATTAAAGTGGCAATAGATAGATTCTCTTAATGACACTTAAGGGACTGAGTCATGCATACCAGTTATGTATTTAATGTTTAATAAAATTACACTGCCACTTAAAACACATAACCCCACTGAAGTCAGCAGAGTTTGCGCATTCAACAAAGACCATTTCCTTTGCTGACGAACTGGCAGGCCCCATATTTTCCCCCAAATCTCGTTTGAGCTCCCGTTAATTAAAGAAAAGCTTGGCAAGCTACAATAACAAAAACAAATCAAAAGTATTGAAGTGTGTTTAACAATCACAGGTATCTGCGACATAAAATAGTGGCAAAGAATGTTACAACATCTGGCTTTAACTAGGAATTCAGGTGCAACCTTGAGTGTGGTTTGAACAGCAGCCCCTAAATATATAAAAAATATGTACCATCTGAGAGTCATATCATCCAGTAACATTAACAAGCCCTTACCACCGGTGTTAGCAACAGCCAAGAGGAGTAAACTTACTCTGTGCCCAGCCTTATTGGAATGAAGAAGTTGATTGCAGACAGGGGGGGGATGAAAAACAGGGTGAAACATGATCAATGTTAAACAAAAGGAAGCAACAGAAAAGAAAATATAGCCAAATGAATAGGCAAATAATAATTAATGAATTGTTGATGTTATGAAAGAAGCGTTTAAAAAAAAAAAAAAAATTAAAAATCGTCTCCTGCGCGCAGCCCCCGGCAGC